CAAAACTAAACCCTTTAATTCCAGTGGTTTTCTTCGAATCCTTTTCGTCACTAGCAGTGATTACAGTCTCCAATTCAAAATCTTCTGAGGACGTATTGCTGGCAAGTTTTGTGTAGCGTTGTGTCTTGACTTAGTTATTGGACCGTTTGTAATCTCGTCACCTTGCTCCTCGAGATCCATCACCATCTTCTTTGCAGCAGCTAGTTCTACTTCACTAGCACGGACACCATAAGAAGTACCAGCGATTGAGAATTTCAGAAAGTCCATCTGGTTACACGTCAAAGTTCCTGTTTTATCAGAGAGGATGGTATCAACTTGTCCCAGCTCTTCATTCAAATTAGACGTACATGCTTGAGCTGGAGTCCCGCTCTCGCTATCATACATCTGCAAATCTTGATTGATGAAAGTCGCTTGCAAGAATTTCACTACCTCGATTGAAACATAAAGTGAGATGGGAATCAAGTAGCCATAAAGCAAGAGAGCATGATCAAATGTACCACCCAAGCATACAAAGGATTAGTTGGATTTGTTAAGCTCTCAGGCTTGTCTGGTCGCAAGTACCACCAATCTGCCATTAAAAGTTTCGTCATCACCGCACCCCAAAGAGCTGATGAAGGAGACAAACAAAAGAAGCGCAAAGAGTGTATATATAATATAATCCATTCTCTTTTCAATGCTGCTTCTCTTTGAAGGAGACTTTGTCGAATTCTGCATAACTTTTGTGTCATGACCAGTAAAGACCACAACCCCATAGATAGTAGTGTTCCTCAACTTAGAATCTCTCAATAGTATCCGGTTAGGATCAAGTGGATAAACCTGTCCATCACACTCAAGATTCCCAACAAAAATGTACAAGTTCGGATTCGGGTCTTCACATTTGATTATTCCAGAGAAACCCTGAAAAGATTCATCCTTCTCCAAAGCCAAAGTAGCATCCAAACATCTAATAACTTTCAAATTAGTCTCTCCATCTAAGTTCATAGTCTCCACATAACATATCCCATCATCGTAACTGCTCGACAATAACAACAAATCAGCAGGAAAAAAACTCATCTTTATCCAGTCTCACCACATCCCCAACACGAAGCTTCTTCCACTTCCTCCGACCAAACTCACCACTCCCTTTATGAACACAAGCCTTCCTCAAATTCACCTCTACATCCTGCATGAACCTGCGCCAATCCTCCAAGGCCTCTTTACCCATACTAAGCCCAACAACGAAAACTAACGGAGCAATCATACTCCATTTGTTAAACGGGGAGAGAGGAAACACCAATAGGATCACAGCAACTAGGAAGTAGAAGTTGGCGACACAGTGGAACTGCTCGTACAAGCATTTAGGCAAGAAAGTGAGCATGTTGTACCTAGTGGTCGATACGTAGTTTGAAGGACACCTAAGGAGTTTGGTTGCAAGTTGGAGATGAGGTTGGTTGCAATAAACGATGCGAGTGTAGCCTGGTCCGTTGATGATGTGTGGGCCTTGATCGTCGAGTGTGTTGGGTCTAAGGCATCTAAAGGTGTAGAAATGGCTTTTTTTATTCTTGATCTAATTTTACTACGACGAGCCATCGAATTTCCAAAAAAAGTTTTAATAACCTCACACAAGAAACCCTAGAAACTGCCAGATTCAAATAAGACGATTAAAAATTTTAAGCGATCCTCCCAAATTGGAGGTTACTGATTCTACTGAACGACGCAGGTGTTTATCAATCTGAAATTAGGTTGTTCAATTTTGCCCTAGATGATGACGGTCATATGAAATTCCAAATCAGCGACTCTAATCTGAGAAACTTGCGAGACAAGACAGAGGCGAAGATCACATGAACAACACGTCGTCATACAAAGAAAGATCGGAGAAAATCACCGTCCCGAGATTACTTGAAATTGAGGAGATTCGTTCATGATCAACAAGACGAACGTCAAAAGAAACACCGATCGTCGACGTGAGAAGAGGAACAAAAACAAAAACGGCTACGATACAAGAGAGAGATTGAAAAATTGGGAGGGAGAAGGAGATGGTTTGGGACGCCTCTCGTTTTCTCAGCTTTCTCTCTGTCTCTCTTGTTGGAAACAGTTTTTGACACAGTGATCTTTTCGACTTTTCTGGTGGCTTTTCCGGCCAAACCAGTGGTCGTCTTGATCAGTTTGTTATATCATTGGAAAGATTGTAACAATTACTACAATTTGATACATTGAAACGTCAAAAACGGATTTAAATTGAATGAGAAATGAGGCTAGAAAGTGGGCATCTTAGTGCAAATAAAACACTGCAATTTTGTCTAAGTGACAAAACCTCCAGAGTCCCACATCGGGTATCTCTAGCATCAGAGAGGGGTATATATATGGAGTCACACTTACCTTGGTTCAAATGAGTCAAAGGAAGAGATGGCTCCCCACGCGCGCGCCGCCGCCGTCCGGCCCGGCTCGGCTCGGCTTGGGCTTGGGCTTGGGCTTGGGCTTGGGCTTGGGCTTTATTGGAGGGCCTTTGGCCCGATAAGAAGTTATCTTTTTGGCCAAATTAAGCCTAACGCTTTGCCATTTTTAAATTTAAAAACAGCATGACGTGTGTAAATAAACAACACGTAGTTTGTGTAAAAACAACACGAAGTCTATCTGTTTGCAAAACAATTTGAACGAGTCAAATAAAAGAGAAGATCTTGCGAAGAAAGTTTCTGAGCTTCCACTCCCGAGATCTCAGCGAGATTTTCGCCCACGTGCAGCAGTTGTTGCGGGAAGTGGGTCTTCTCCGTCTCTTATAAATATTGCCTCTCCTCCTTCTTCATTCTTAACTTTTTCACGCAAGAAAAAAACCAGCAAATCTCCCAAAGTAAGTTTAGAGAGTGTTCGTAGAATTTATGTTCGTTAGGTCGTTTCACGAGTGACGCGTGAATCGTCTGCCATGGTTGTATCCTGGGACTCGATATTCGTACAGTTTCGTCTCACTACGGAGCGAATATTAAGAGTTAAGGAAAGAGATTTATCTCGCCTCCATGTCTTATATAATCGTCTATTTCCTTAACTCCGTCTTTCTTATATCGTTCATGTCGATCCGGTTTTCCGGCTTCTACATCTCTCTCTAGGGATTAGAGAGGTGAATGTCTTTCTTTCTCTCTCTCTTCTCTCCTCCTTCACTCTCTCTCGCACTGCAACTCAGAACCAACGCAGCAATTTTCGTTTTCCTTTTTGTTTTTTCCTCCCCTCTCTCTGTTGTAGCTTCCTATTTTTTTTAATTAAAAAGTTAGCCTTTATTTATATTTATATTTTAAAACTAATACTATAATTAATTTTTATACATTACTTTAGATTCATTGCCACTTAAAATATAAAAGCAGAGGATAGTCTTTGGATTACAACAGATCGTGTAGAATCTGTTTTCATAAACCAATTTTCTACACAGCACTGAGATGAAAGGTACAGAATATTCTTTTAATTACTACAAATCATGTTGAATCTCTTTATATAAACAAACCATTTCCATACTGATTATATTCTTAACCATAGTGTTTATGCTTTTTATTATTATCTTCTGTAAATTATATTTTATGGAATATTTTGATATAAAATCAGTTCACCAAAATTTGTGGTGATGAATATTTTTCATTAGTTTTTAGTTTCAATTTTTATTTTTAGATTTTGGTTTTTGGTTTTTAGTTTTTAGTTTTTAAGTTTCTACTTTTCATTTTCAGTTTTTGGTTTGGGTTTTTAATTTTTAAACCCGCTGAGTTAGTTTGAACAAATATTACCAACAAACAAATCTCAAATAATCGAACATCTAATTCAAAACTGAAAAGATGACAACAAATTAAAAAAAAAAAACAGAATTTGATAGTTTATTTTGTAAATAAACAAAGCAAAAAAAAATATAACATGTGTTTTCAGCTTTTGGTTTTGGATTTTAGTTTTTAGATTTGGTTTTTGGTTTTGCTTTACATTTTTTAATCAGTAAATTATTTAAGAAAAATAAAACAATAAATTATTTAAAAGTTACCACTGAAATTTATCAAAACAAAGTGATTGTTATTTAAAATAAAAAATATATTAACAAGTTTTATAGTACATGATTTAAATAAATGATTAATAATAGATAATTTTGTTTTGTTAAAAATATTAAATACCTTTTGGGTCTGAAAATAATAATTGATTTTTTAATCTTTTAAGGTGAAAAGTTTATTCAATGTTTTTAGAGTTTTTTTCTTAATACTAAGCCCAAAAACCAAACTATATAATTTGTTCAAAAAAAATAAAAGTAATCCCAAGACTATATTCCATAAATAACCACTGGTTTAATTTAAGAATAATTAGTAGATTTCCATATTCCATATTTTGATGATATATATTCTTTTAGAACATTCCATATTTGTAGTAGAAAATATGTGTTTTCGATATACACATAGATACCTGCCATATTTTGAAGGTAGTTTACATTAAAGTCGTCTTTTACATTAATTGTGTTGATTTAATTTAAGTAATACGGTTCATTCAATTATATGACTTATATTATTTGTAACATTCTAAAAATAGTCCAAATTTAAATGACAACTTATATCAGTAGATAAAAAGAATGACTCTATTTTAATAGAGTAGATAAAGATTATAGATATAAAGAAAACAATATAATGATAGGTTCTTACTTATATAAAATATTTTATATATGTATATATAAATTCTTAATTTATAATTTTAATGAAATTATATATTTATTTTTTAAAAATATTATTTTATTATTTTATTGATTTGAATCGTATTTCGACCAGTTTAAATTAAAACCAACAAATTTAATAATTTATAAAAATTATTATATTATTATTAATTTAATTATTTTTATGATCAAAATTGGTTTAATTATTATATTATTATTAATTTATAGAAGTTCAACTGTACGCACAAAAAGAGCAAATGGGATCAGGATTCAGAAAACCAGTTTAGTCCGTTTTGGTTTACTCATCAAACTGTAAACCTCCTCTAAAGTCCGGTTTAATACCTTTCTTTTGCACTTAATCCACAAATCAGAGCAAGTTTTATTGATGATCTCACACTATAAACGTAAATGAAAAGTTCATACATTTGTTAAGTTCACACATAAGCAAACCTTTCATTTTTTTAAAAACAGAATATATATAAAAGCATTAATATGGTTAATAGTACTGGCTGATCGATGCTGCAAATTGAAGTTGTTGTGCGAAGATGAACAAATTTGCTCAAAAACCATGGATCTTGATGTTATCCTTCTTCACAAGACCAGCCTGGTTCAACAACATTCTTAATATCAGACCACACTATCTTTTACAATAAACCAACTTAAAATAATGGTGCAAGGGTAATTTACTTGAACAAGGAAGGTAGAGACGTTCTTCCTCTGATCACCTTGAAGCTGAATAACCTACAATTTTATTGAAGATTCTCAAGTCATAAAGCAATTGATGAAGTATATATCTAAAAAGGGTTCAGCTTACAATCAAAAATGGTTCAAAAGGGAATTCGAGAAACACAGACAGAGACATACCTGTCCTAGTTCAGAGTCTTGGACAACGGTGCCATTGCAGCAGAACTCTTTCTTGAGGTCTTTAAGGATCTTGGTATAGCTATACTCCTTCTTAAGGCCCTGGACAGTGGTCAGGCTTTTTCTACCATTACGCTGCTGAACACGTATGTGCACGTATTCCTTTGTTCCTGCTCCAGCACCAGCGTCCTCAGCATTTGCATCAGCAAACGGATCTTATAAATATCATCAACCAAACAAACATGACCCAAATCAATCAGCTTCCCAATCAATTTTAAACAAGAACAAGTTTCACAATTTAAACAAGAACAAGTTTACCAAAGGCAGTGGGGACTTGAACTTCAAGATCTGACATGAACCTTTAGTTGAAACAAGGGGGAGCAAACGACACGGATGCTAAAGCCTGAACATGGACATAAAAAAAAAACAAGTGATTTCATTACACAACATAAAACGCGACAACTCGTCATATGAATCTAAATCAATTCCATACAAAGAAGATATTCATCGGATCGAAAATCGATTTTGAATTTGGAGTCAAATTTCTTCTGAAAAAAAAGAAGAAAATCTAGAGCGATCGATGAATATAATACAAAGATATTGAAGATCTTATCCAGATCAGAAAATAGAAAATCATATACAAAACTCTAATCGATCAACGAGAAGGGAAGAAAACATGGTCCAAGAATCATGGATTTGAGTATTGGAGAGAGAGAGAGATGAATCACCTGATTGTAGATGTATTAGGGTTTCGATGATTTGGATTATACGAGAAATGAAAACCCTATTATTATTATTCGGATAAAAGGACAGCTTCTGTCTGGTCTGAAAGAGGAAGAAGATGACAAATACGAGAGGAAGAGCTACAATATCGATTTATATTTTTATTTAAACAGTAACTAGATTTTGAAAATTCTAATTTTTATATTGGGGAATTAGACTGTATGACAAAGAAAAAAAACATAATTCACTAAATAGACAATTGACCTAGCTTTTCAATACACACGTTCTATTTTATGTAATAATGCTATTTTACTCTTGTAGACAACCGGTGCAACCTGATAAAAAAAATTATAATTATTAAATGTCTAAAGTAGATGTGGCATAATTAGATTCACATCATCTATTTTAATTTTCCTTGATAACGTTTGATAAGCGAAAGGTCTCTGTTGATAGTTTGCTCCACCTCTTCGAACCCACCGTTTTGTTCTACACCGTCACCACCATCGGCTTTTTCTAAGTTTATTCACCTTCTCGAAGTACGTAGCAAAGGGTATATCATCTCCCCTTCTGAAATTGATTGCATGAAGACGTCATTACAGTCCAAAAAGGAACAACTTGAGCCTCTTCTATTTCACATCGGCGATTCGTCTGAGATATATTGCAATATTGTAACTTCTTGATTGTGTGCTTTTGATTCTATTCCTGCAATGATTTTTTCTTCTATTTGTGATTAGGGTATAATGTTTAGTGGGGCTGTCAGGTTTAGAGTTAAGTTATTGGAGTTTAGGATATAGTATCAAAATAAATATATATTCCATTCCATGTACATAGAATGGTATTCCTGTCTATACTATTCCGAATGGATTGTAATGACGCTCACAAATTTATGATAATTCCATACCATTAAGTACTATGTTATTTGACTATGTGCCATTCCATTTGATGTAACGTTTATTTGAGGTGTTTGGTTTACATTTGGGTTGATGGTTTATATTTTGATTTAGTGTTAACTTATTTGCGATTATGGTTTAATATTTAGTGGTTGTATTATTCCATATAGTTGATATTTTGGTTAATATACGTGATAGAGAACACCGAATGTATTATATATACACTGTTTGTTCGATTGGATACATATTCCATTCCATTTTGGATGGTTCACTATTCTGAATGGAATGGAACGTCTGTAGTTTGTTCCATTCTGGATGGAATTGAACTTCCATATTATCCATTCACGGTTGTTCGATTCCACATGGATTGTTCTGCAATATTATATATCCAGCCTGCTTCACATTACCATCATGTTTACTTTGATTACATCATTGTATATTTACTTTATACTAACTATCTTCCCCTCGTTTTTTTATGTTAGGTCTGACATGGACGATTTGGGCCTTCCAAGTAGATTGTTCGCCACAGGGTTTGAACCCAGTGGAATAGATCGACCGATATAGCAGGAGACATGTACCATACTGGATAATATACTCATTTGTATGGAATAGTTAAAGAATGGAATGAAATTTAATTTTTGTTTAGGGGTTAATCGCCAATGTATTAGGGTTTATATTTTCTTAATTTTTGTTTAGTGATTAGCGTCCATACCCTTTTAAATGAAAATTTATGGGGTTTATCAAAAGTAGGAGATTAAGGTGAGAAAATGAAAAAGATTATCATAAGGAAGGGGTTAATCGGCAATGGATTAGGGTTTATATTTTCTTAATTTTTGTTTAGTGATTACCTCCTAATTTTTGTTTATGGAATAGGAATATACCGTATGGTATAGATCGACCGATATAGCTGGTGACATGTACCATAATGGATAATATATTCATTTGTATGGAATAGTTAAAGAATGGAATGGAATTTAATTTTGGTTTAGGGGTTAATCGCCAATGCATTAGGGTTTATATTTCTTAATTTTCGTTTAGTGATTAGCGTCCATACCCTTTTAAATGACAATATATGGGGTTTATACAAAAGTATGAGATTAAGGTGAGAAAATGGAAAAGATTATCATAAGGAAGGGGTTAATCGGCAATGGATTGGGGTTTATATTTTCTTAATTTTTGTTTAGTGATTACCGTCCATAGCATTTTAAATGGGGTTTATATTTTGATAGCATTTTAACATAAGAAAGGGGTTAATCGCCAATGTATTAGGGTTTATATTTTCTTAATTTTTGTTTAGTAATTAGCGCCCATAACTTTTTAAATGACAATGTATTAGTCACTTTCCTAACCTACCTCCTAATACCGTATGTAGTAATCCTAATTGATAAAAAAACGGAATGGAACATATGAATACAAAAACGGAATGGAATGGATGATCTAGTTATAATGAAACAGAACTAGGTAAACTGTTTGAAGATTATCATAAGAAGGGGGAAATCGTTAATGGATTGGGGTTTATATTTTCTTAATTTTTGTTTAGTGATTAGCGTCCATAGAATTTTTAAATAGGGTTTATATTTCCATAGCATTTTAACATAAGAAAGGGGTTAATCTGCAATGTACTAGTGTTTATATTTTCTTAATTGTTGTTAGTTATTTTCTTAATTGTCTTTTAAATGACAATTTATGAGGTTTATATAAAAAAAAAAGTAAATGGGGCACTAAAAGAAAGATATTAATGTGAGAAAAAGAAAAAGATTAACCTAATTCCTAACCCACCTACTAATATTGTATGTCGTAAGCCTACTTAATAGAATAACGGAATGGAACATATGAATATAAAAACGGAATGGAAGGGATGACCTATGTAGAATGGAACAAAAATAGTTACCAATCCCCTTTCGATTTGACATGAAATGGTAATTATTCAATTGTACTATTCCACTTCAGATAGTATCAATTGCTTGTCTGTTCTGCTTGGATCTGTTTCCATTTAAATTCTTGACCGTTAAGTTATCCCCTTCAACAATGATATTGTAAAGGGAGTTTGTAATAAGAATAAATCTAACGTGGCTTTTTTTTCTCCTTAAAATGTGTATAGTTCCTGATAAATATTAGCCATACCTCCCTTTTGACAACGTCATCTTATTATCTCTCCTTCACCTTCTACTTGTACGATGGAGGGTTAAAACCGGATAATTGTGAGCTTAATTGTTACTTTCTTTATTATGTCAAAATCAATGTCATACACTTAATTTCCTCTCAAATCTTAGCTATTTCACAAATTAACCCTTTTATATTTATGTTTTCTGTAATCATATTTTTGTGTTGAATCCTTTATCAATAATATAAAACATTTAGTTTTATTAATATAAATGAGTAATACATGGATAATAAATAGTTAGACCATATATTTATTAACTGATCATGATCATATTTTCATATAATATATATTTAAATATTAATAAATATATATTCTACATAGAATATATATTTATATTTATGTTTACTGTAATCATATTTTTGTGTTTAATCCTTTATCAATAATATAAAACATTTAGTTTTATTAATATAAATGAGTAATACATGGATAATAAATAGTTAGACCATATATTTATTAACTGATTATGATCATATTTTAATAGAATATATATTTAAATATTAATAAATCAAACGTATAATTAGGTTGAGTAAAAAATCCGAATCCGAAAAATCGAACCGAATCCGATCTAAAAACTAATACCAAATCTAAACAGAAACTGATACCGGATCTAAATCAGATTTATATATTTGAATATATTAGTCATTTTTAAATGTAATTTCGGAAAATATCAAAAATATATAAGATATTTTGAAGTTGTCCAAATATATTCCAAAATATATAGTCAAAAATAAATATTTAAAAATAGTTAAACAATATTCAAAACAATGTCAATACTTAAAATATCTATTGATTCTCTATCAAAATATCCAAGTTACACCAAATTTTATGTTAAGTTAAGATATTTTGGTATAAATATATTTAAATGTTATATATCATTTTTATTTTTTAGATTTTTGAAATTTAAAGTATATAAATTTTTAAAAATTTAAAATAATTATCTGAAACCAAACCGAACCCGCAAAGATCTGAACTGAACCCGAATCAAAATTTATATACCTGAATAAGGCTAAAATCTCTAATCATGAAAATCTGAAACCTGAATAAATCTGAACTGAACCCGAATGGATACTTAAACGTCCATCTCTGGGTAAAATGATGTTTTATTATTAATGATTTTTTTGGTTATTTTCTTTTTTGGGACTCAAGCAGTTAATAAATGATGTATTATTTAAAAGTGTAGATTGTAATGCTATGTTGAAATATTTTTAGGCGAAAAATAAAACATAATTTATACAGACATCAGAACCTTAATCAAAAGAAAGTAGACATAATATGTAAACCGTCGACTAATATATATTTTATTTGCCAATATTCATCAAGTGCTAACATCAAATACGATTACCATTTGTCTAATTTACTATTTGTTATGTTGTTACTAATATATGTAACTGTCAGATCAATAATGGAGAACCTTAATCAAAAGAAAGTAGACATAATATGTAAACCGTCGACTAATATATATTTTATTTGCCAATATTATCATCAAGTGCTAACATCAAATACGATTACCATTTGTCTAATTTACTATTTGTTATGTTACTAATATATGTAACTGTCAGACCAATAATGGAGAAGTGGAAGCAGTCAAAAATATAACTGCTAGTGTTAAAGAAAAAAAGAAAGCAGTTAACTTTTAAATAAATATAGATATTGTTATAATCATTTAATTATTATTAGCTGAACTCAACTTTCATCAATAGGTCATGCTGCAAAATTAATAGAAGAGATAATAAATTTGACGATTCGGCACCGCATCTATTGGGTCTTAACAAAGGCCTAACTTGTTTATGCATTAACAAATCCCAAATTATTGAGAGTGCTTGATGCTATACGATTGAGATCTCCTGAAATCAGAAGGAAGTCGTATAGAAATGTATATACAAACTAGATATGGACCCCGTGATGTTCTGAACCTAACCCGAACAAATCTCCAATATATTAATCATAGAGCATTACAATCAGGGTCGATCCTTACAATTATTGGGCCGTAAACAATTTTTTTTTTAAAAAACCTATTTGTTAATAAGAACAAAAAAAATTTAAAAATATTGTTAGAATACGTCGAACTTTCTACCTACTTCAGCTTAATATTATGCATTAACACTAGAGCTACCAAAGAACTTCTGTCAATATGTGGCCAGTAAAACTAATAACTTAATGGCGGCCGGAAGCACTAGCTTCTTCTCTTCCGTCCAAAGTCACCTCTGATTACAACATTTAATGTATCCACGTGTTAGCAGTAGGTCTCAATTGATGATAAAGTAGTAGTAGTAGTATGTTACAGAAACTGTATGCTTTCATTGAATTTTTAATAAAGTGATTGGTAGAATATTAGTAGTATACAATTTTAAAATTATACTAAAAGTTGGCATGTTATTTATTTTAAGCTAATATTATATATTTATTGTGGCTTCCTACACCATGTGTAGAAATAAAAGTTTTAAAAATAAATTTATATTTAAAATAAAATTTAGTTAGTTTTTAAAATGTATTATTTTATTACATTATTAATTTTACATTAATTATATGTAAAAATTAAGAGAAAATAAACAGTTTTATTTAAATATATGACAGTACTCTCAAATAGAATTTTTTTTAGGTTTTTTCACAAAAATAGATCTTAAAACTAAAATGACTAAAACAGCATTTTTTATTTTGAAAAATTTATTTTAAAATATAAAATTTATTTTAAAAATATATTATATTATTTTTGGATATAAACATAATTTTTAATATTATTAAATAAATGAATAATATATATATATATATTATTTATTAGTAGAGGAGTAAATGATTAATATATAAAATTATTATAAAAAATAATATATGTTATATAATTTATTTATTAGAGTCTAAATAATATAGGTATGTTTACATCTATAATATATAAATATATATGATGTTATGTTTGTTACTAAAAATAATGAATGATCTGAGTAGTTATATAAATGATTATATTTTAAGTTTGAAATATTAATTATTCTTTTTAAAAAAGTTAAAAATATTTAATTGTAATTTTTTAATATAAATTTATTTCTATTAGAAAAATCTTTTTTATATTATTAGATCAAATAAATTAAGTTTTATATATTTTAACTACAAATGCTCTCCTTAAAGTTTCATATGAGAGCATTGAACAAAGAACGTTTGGTAAATGATTTTCTAAATACTTTTTTGGTAAATGTTGGTTGGATAATAGAGAACAATAATGCATTAATGCTTATAAAAAGTAGATTAGTCCATCTAAATAAAAAGTATATCACTTATATATTAATCCTGGAGCATTGCAACATATAAATGTAACCACGTGTCATCAATAGGATCATTCTTAGAATCTTTGGAAAAATATGTTGGTCCATCTAAAAATAAAGTATACTTTTCACTAAATTAACTAAGTAAATGTTTGTAGTGCATAAAGAATATTCTTCATTCTTTCCTTAAGTAAAATCTACAGTGGAACTATATATGATTTAAAATAATAAATATTTAATAATAGTTTTTGAATCCTCCATCTTTTTTGTTTAATTTATATTATTAAAAAAATAAAGAATCACATTAACCATATAATGAAAAAATTATATTTTTTTCTCATATGTTATATTATAATTTTTTTAAAACGGCTATAAATTACTAAAACTATTAAAGTCTTACAGTGAAAATTTTGTGAACAATTGTTTATTTTTTTGCTATAAAAATATAGAAATCTCTTATATATTAATCATATAACATTACAACATGTTTTCGTAACCATGTGTCATCATCGGGATAATTCTCAAAATTCTTATAAAAATAAATTGGTCCATATAATTATATATTATATTTTTATTAAACTAACTATCAAATTAGTTATTAGCATACAAAAAATATTATTTGTTTTCTTAAATAAAAGCTACGGAATTACCTAGTATGTTTAATATATATATATATATGACAATTAATTATTTTAATTATATACAATACATAAAGTAAACTAAATGGTTGTTTTTATTTAATTACCAAAAACATGATTATAAATTAACAAAAGGTATTAGTTTTGATATATGTGCTTACTCTAACGTATATACGTTTATGTATACAAATTAATTTTTAAATATGTAGTTTCTAATATGCTATTTGATCCTCGCAATCCGTGAATTACACTTCTTCAAATCGAAGTGATTTTTAATACTGTAAGCACTATATATATATATTATTCATTCAAATTAAATAATTTAGTCTTGATATTTATTCCTAAACAGCTTTTAATGAAATATTATGACAAGTCCAATAACCTCCTTTTGAGTTTGTTCGAAGAAGGAGAGACTTGATCATTCGTCTAATATTTATTTCTCTATAATACCCAATTTAGCTATTATAATTTATTCGAACAAGACTTATGGTCTTAGGACTTTGGGATTTGGTTATAATCTGAACCGAACCGAAATTCGAACTAGATCCGAAGATATCTGAAATTAATATAATATGTTAATATACTTTTATATATCAAGGTAATTTATATATTTTATTGTATTCAAAAGATTTTGGTAGTTTTTTTATTTTTTTATTTTGAATATAATTTAGTTTAGATAATTTAACTAATTTTAAATTAGATTTATGAATAATTTAAATATTTTGACAATTTGTTTTTGTCAATTTTGAGGTTTCAAAAATATTTTTTGGGACGACTTCAGATTTTTGTTACAATCCGATCCAAATCAAATCCTGAAGGAACCAAACGGAAATTGATCTGATAACTAGTAAAATCTGAATGGGTCTGAAAAGCATAATACCAAAAACTTGAAAATCCAAATCAATTGAACCAAACCGACGGATCCTCGAATCCCTAGACATATGATATATTTAATTAATAGATCAACATTTGTATTCATTATTTTAGAATCGATAAAGATTATAGTGTTACAAAATGTTAAAACCGAACATATATTAATATAAAAAATTAATATTAATATAAAAAATTAGGGGATCATCACCTAGTTAGTTATTAAATTAACTATCAAAATGATTAGTAGTGCATAAAAAATATTTTTCATTCTTTCCTTAAAAGATTTTTTTGTCATCCATTCTTTCCTTAAATAAATGCTATGGAATTACCTAATATGATTTTTTAAATAATAAAGATTTAATAATATTTTTTTGTATCCTCCATCCTTGTTGTTTAATTTATATAATTAAAAAATAAAACAATCACATTAACCATATATAAAAAAACTAGATTTTTTTTCTTATATGTTGAAGTTTGATTTTCTTTACTTTTCTAATCATTTTATTTGTGTAACTTTCAAATACAGTCAATAACTTTATTTATTTGTTTATTTATTTTAATCTTTTAATAGACAATATTTAATAAACTGCAATAAACATTATACAAAATAATTTTACAGCAAATAAAATACAAGAAATTGGAATACAAACACATAGTAATAAATATATAACATGATTATTGAAGATGAGCATGATATCAATGCACCAATTAGAGATTCAAGATCAGCGCCAGTGGCACAAGTCGAAATGGCAATAAACGAGAATACTCGTTTTCAAAACTTTTTATCTCGTAATCTTCAAATAAAAGATAAATATGCTCATTTTATCACTTCGAAATGCTTTAATTGATCATATATGAGATTATTATGGAGCTAATTATAATGAATAATTATGTACTTTGTTTAAATTTCATGATTTACTTTGTATTTTTTATTTATATTGAAGGTTTTAGTATAATATAATATCTTTTTATTAACATTTTTTATAACAATTTTGTTGGATATTCTGTAGTTATTATAAAAGTTTTATACTATTAGTTAACTTTTATTAAATATAAGGACTGTTATGTAAAATACAAAAGTTTTAAGGTTTATTATAAAGTTTTTCTTTTGGAGATAAACACCCAAAAACCTTATTTTAAAGTTTTGCTCAAACTTTAAAATAAATGAGCTTTTGGAGATGCTTTAAGAGAAAATATTAATTTTATCAGTTCTTTTTTTTTTTCAATTTCTTGCTCCCATTTTCTAGTAACAATAGTGATGTTTTTATTAAACTAGTCTAATTTAAACAATTTTCGGAATTCATGGTTTCTAGATGATATCTTTCCTGATAACAAATAAATTACTATTACACACAGCTGATTTATTTATTTATATATATATATGTGTGTGTGTAAGTATTTAAGATTTTTTTTAATATGAGTTGGAACAGTTTTACCTCTAAATGCTACTATAGAAGCAAGACAAATAAAGAGGTGGATTGGAGATATTAGAAGTTTTTTTTTTTTTTTGAGATATTAGAAGTTTGAATACAGTGTACTCAATCTACTGTTTAAAATTTGAATGGAGTGATGGTAAGTTTCAGGAAGCTAACTGAAGAAATAATAATTGGATGCCACCTCCATGGGCAATGGTTGCCTTAGTTGTTCTTGGATTCTTTTTTTTGAAAGAAGTTGTTCTTGGATTCAATGAGTTTATGACTTTAAGGTACGTACATGTTCTCGCGGCACATGTTCTTTCAAACTTCAATGTGGAATCTTTCTAAAATGCTTGAATTTTCCATGGTTGCAATTACTTTTTTCATCTGTTCACTATGTATTCAAAATCAATGACTATGGTTTTCATCAACAACAACCTGGGCTGATACCCTTATCAACCAAGCTTCTTCCCAGCGTCATGAATCTACTGAGAATACTGGCAGAAGAAAGACAAGCTCCATCTGCAAATACTAACCTCAACAAGGTCGATCCAAGGTTACAACAAACGGAGTAAGCAGCGGTATTGGTTCATCTTCATCCAGCTTTTCTTCAACGGAAACCGTTCCCAACAACACTAAAGAAAAGGGATATGGTGTCTTTAAATTTCGCTCACCTCTCTTTTGAGTTGGTGTTGTTATAGAGGAAACTAAAAGTACGTGCATATAGAGAGTCACTGTATTTTGTATCAGGTGCCAAGAGTATAAAAGTGGTCTTGTATGTCTTGTACGTTTACAGACAGATTTTAATCTTGTTTGACAGAACACATGATAACTCGAAGTCTAGTTTAATATGTTGAAACTTGAAACAAACCAAAAAGAAAAATCATTTTCATTATTCTCTGATTAAAAGATCGGTTCAGTGCTTACATTATTGGCACTAAAAATGCAGAGTAAGAGTAAATAATGATACAACACACCTCGGGAGATATATGGAACTAAGGCTCAATCTTCACGAGATCTTCAATAGATTTCCTATACTCCATAATCAAGTCCCTAACCAAAAATTTTAAGAAGACAAAAGTAAAGAGAAAGATCTGAACAAACAAAAGACAGATGATACAGTTTTGCAAAGCTTTACCTTCTTTGTTGAAGCAGTTGCTCACTTTCTTCTAGGTTTCTCTTTTGCCCATCAACAGTCTATTTAAACACACACAAAACATCAGTAGTTAGTTAATACCTCCCATAAGCAAAAGGCCAGAGAGAGAAACACACACTTTTGTTTCTGATCATTACCATAGTAGTTTTAGATCCAAGGGATCCTGAGATCGAATTTAACAGCTGTTGGCACTTGTCGAAATGGCCGTTCAATTCACTCACCTACACTTCCACACCCAGACAATTCAACAACCCAAAAATCCCTAGAGATTCACCTAAAGACAAGACAAAAAAAAAAAGAAAAAAACAAACCAGGGCATCAGAGTTCTGATCTCTTGTTCCAGTTTCAACTGCATCTGATAGCCTCTCCACCAACTGCGAATACAAGACATTAGACCCATTGATTCCGATGAAAAACTGAGTAATTTGCTAATAGGGCCGGTCCTGAGCATAGACCGGTGAAGCATTAAAATTTTACATACATATACGCTTCCAAAATTGGATTAAAAAAAATGTAATATTAAACCCTTAATAAATTGTCTATAGGCCACAAAATCTCAGTACCGGATAGAGATGGAAATGAGAAGCTAAAGACTGAGTCTGAACAGATTGCTGCGGAGTATGCACCAACTGCTGTTGTTGCTGCGGTGTATGCATCATAGATTGCGGAGTATGAACCACCGTCTGCTGCTGCGGCGGCGGAGGCGATTGCAACGACGATTGCTGCTGCTGCTGCTGAGGAGAATGTAGGAGACGGTGCTGCTGGTGATGGAACTGTTGTTGTTGAATGAATTGTTGTTGTTGTTGGAACTGCTGGAACTGCATCTCTTGTTGTTGTGGCTGGAATTGCTGTTGCTGTTGCTGAGTCTGTTGTTGTTGATGATGAAACTGTGGTTGCTGTTGTTGTTGTTGTTGGAGGAATAGATGGTCTTGATTGGTGGGTGTACCGAAGCTACCCTGCGCTTGAACGTTGGGGATCATCGACCAATTGCCTCCTGAGAACTGATCCATTCCTCCTATCCGATCTAACTACTTGCCTGAAACTAAACGACGTCGTATTTGTCAAATTCTAAACAGTATAATAAAAAACAGATCTGTGACTGTGAAGCAGAACACTAGAGATCTCCGCCTCTGATATGACAAAACACGAACAAGAATACTTACGAAGAGATGAAATTATCTCGAAACAGATTCAATACCTGAAGAGAGATTAGAAGATTTTGCTGCGTACCTGGAAAAAACAGAAAGCTACGCCGGAGAGAGTGATGATCGCTGAACGTTTTCCCGACGAGGAATTGGGGAGGTTAGAAAACTTAAAATCATCAAACTAAATGGGCCTTTTAAAGTAAGCCCATTACTGGCCCATCTAAGCAAGATCAAACCCGCCGTATACGACGAGTACGAGAGGCAAATGTGATTCTTCTTCTTCAACGCTATGAATGGGTTCTTTTAAGTAGAGAACAAACTCTTTTGAGTCTTCCATACGCTGGAAAGAGGTGAGAGACGATCTTCCTTGTTAATCAATCGAAAATTTATGAAAAATTTGATTTGATTCGATTCTTTAATTGCTAATGGCTCACTTGATTTTCTAATTTGTGATCAGATTGGATTTTGCGATTCCCTTCCAAGGTGCCTTCCTTCTCTATATAATCATGTAAATGTTATTGGCTCCTGTCGTCTCTCAAAACTGTTACTAATACACTATAGAGGCTGTATGTAGAGAGTTTACACTACTTGAGCCACGAAAATGAGGCTGTTGAAAGTAGCCACGTGTAACTTGAACCAATGGGCTATGGACTTCGAATGCAACATGAAGAACATCAAGGCTTCCATTGTTCATGCAAAGGCTGCTGGTGCTGTCATCAGGCTTGGTCCGGAGCTCGAGGTCACTGGTTATGGCTGCGAGGATCACTTCTTGGAGCTAGACACCGTCACTCATGCGTATGATTCTTCTCTTTTTAAGTTTCCATTTAGGCATTGGCGTTTTGACCCCCAAACTGAAGTCTTGACCTTAACCAAAAGCCAAAATCCGATCTGAAATGTTCTAACAAAATGTATGAATGGGACTTAACAGCTATGTACTTCCGGGTCAAATTGAAATCTGAACTAAGATCCGAAAATATCCAAAATTAGCTACATATGTTAAGGTTTTGGATATTTTAAAAATAAAATTGCAATTTTTATGTGTAATTTTGATTATTTCTTAGTTATTTCAGGTAGTTAAAGTAGTTTTTAATTATTTTTTAATAATTTATATATTTTAAAGTATTTTTGGCCACTATTTTAGTTTTGTATTGGCGGTTTTAGACATTAGTTAAAACCGAACCGGAAAGAACCGAACACGACCCAAAATTAGTAAAACCCAAATTGGACTTATGAGCATAATATCAAAAATCTGAATCCCAATGGGATACCGAACAGTAACTCGCTTGGATTGTTTGGATCATGTTTTTATACATTTTCCTAATGTTCTTGTGAAAATGTTCTTTCAGGTGGGAGTGTTTGAAGGAATTGCTGCTTGGTGACTGGACGAAAGATATACTGTGTAGCATAGGAATGCCAGTGATTAAAGGAGCAGAACGGTATAACTGTCAGGTTCTCTGTATGAACAAAAGAATCATCATGATTCGACCAAAGATGTGCCTTGCAAACGATGGAAACTACAGGGAGCTGAGGTGGTTCACTGCTTGGAAGCATAGAGGAGAGCTCGAGGAGTTTCACCTCCCTATTGAAATCTCAGAGGCTTTGTCACAGGAATCAGTCCCTTTTGGTTATGGTTACATCCAGTTCATCGACACGTAAGTTTTTGAGTATAAATGCTTCCTTTCAACAACGGTGTCAATGATTTGTAAAATGTATAAACTATTATGTTTCTTTATCAGAGCTGTTGCAGCTGAAGTTTGTGAGGAGCTGTTTAGTCCAATCCCTCCTCATGCTGAGCTTGCATTGAATGGCGTGGAGGTGTTTATGAATGCAAGTGGGAGTCATCACCAGCTAAGAAAGCTAGATATTCGTTTGAATGCTTTCATGGGTGCTACTCACGCTCGTGGTGGGGTTTATATGTACAGTAATCAACAGGGATGCGATGGTGGCCGCTTATACTACGGTTTGTTTAGAGTATTCTTATCTACTTTTTTTTTTCTTTAGTGACCATCTTGATTGTTTCATTTTAATCCAATTGCAGATGGATGTGCATGCATTGTGGTAAATGGGAATGTTGTAGCTCAAGGGTCACAGTTCTCGTTGAAGGACGTTGAGGTCATCACTTCCCAAGTGGATCTAGATGCGGTATCCTATAGTTATCTTCTGGATTAACTTTCTTTGATGATGTATATTATAAATTTCCTTGAAGACCATCTTTGCCTTTTTTTTTCCTTGGGAAAGGTTGCTAGTCTTCGCGGATCTATAAGTAGTTTTCAGGAACAAGCAAGTTGTAAGGTGAAAGTATCTTCAGTATACGTGCCCTGTAAGCTGACACAGTCCTTCAACCTAAAAATGACACTAAGCAGTCCGAAGAAGGTTCTCAACATCGTCCTCTGCTTCCTAATCTTGAAGTGAACTTTTTATAAGTTTCCAAATCTAATACTTGTTAGTATGCAGATTATGTACCATTCTCCACAAGAAGAAATAGCCTTTGGTCCTGCTTGCTGGCTATGGGACTATTTGAGAAGAAGCGGCGCTTCAGGGTTCTTGCTTCCTCTTTCTGGTGGAGCAGACAGCTCGTCGGTGGCAGCTATTGTTGGCTGCATGTGCCAACTTGTTGTTAAAGGTATGTTCAACTGTGTGTTTCTCTTACTGAAGAGACTTCCATGATGTTGATATCTTCGTCTCATGTAGAGATTGCAAATGGAGATGAGCAAGTGAAAACTGATGCGAAACGGATTGGGAATTATGATAATGGAGAGTTTCCTACTGATAGCAAAGAGTTTGCCAAACGAATATTTTACACTGTCTTTATGGGGTCTGAAAACAGGTAGACGAGTTAATAGTAGCCAAAACAGATATGACTGCAGCAAACATAAAACGTTTTGCTTATTGAAAACCTCAATTTTACAGTTCTGAGGCGACAAAAATGCGTGCAAAGCAGCTGGCAGACGAGATCGGTGCATGGCATCTAGATGTTTGCATAGATGGTGTTGTCTCTGCGGTTCTAACTTTATTTCAAACGGTTACTGGCAAGCGTCCACGTTATAAGGTAAATTTCTCTCATTGGGTCAACAACACCAAACTTGATCATGACGAAATGAAGAGAAAATGGTTATGTGTTTTGTGGTACAGGTTGATGGAGGATCAAACGTTGAGAATCTTGGGTTGCAGAACATACAAGCACGGATGAGAATGGTGCTAGCGTTTATGTTAGCGTCTCTCTTGCCTTGGGTTCATAGCAAACCAGGTTTTTACCTTGTTCTAGGCAGCTCCAACGTTGATGAAGGACTTCGTGGTTACCTAACAAAGGTGATGAGACTTTTCTCTTTTTATCGCTACATGTTGATTACTTTACTTGATTGTTAATGTAATACACTCTTTTGGTTGAAACAGTATGATTGCAGCTCAGCAGACATAAACCCCATAGGAAGTATCAGTAAACAAGATCTGAGGTTGTTCCTAAGATGGGCTGCAACGAATCTTGGTTATCAATCCTTGGCAGACATAGAAGCTGCTCCACCAACAGCTGAGCTTGAACCCATTCGTTCTGACTATTCTCAGGTAATAACAAAACTGTTTGTGAGTCTCTATTAGGCCTGCGGGTAAGTAGTTTGGGTAAATTCCGTTCGGGTAGTGTTTGGTTCGACATAAATCTTACTAAGCTAACCCAAAATAAAATAAAATTCGGTATTCGGTTAGTTCAGTTTTTGAAAATCCTACCAAAAATTTTGATTAATTTTGTTAAAATTTGGTTCAGTTCGTTTAATTTCGGTTAGTTAGGTTTGAAATTTGGTTAGTTCGGTTTGGGTTTTTTGGTATGGTTTGGTTATTTTTTTTTTCTTAAGGAAAACCGAAGTAACCGAAACAAAAACTAAACTTAAAAAAATCCTACCAATCGAACCGAAAAACCTGTATTTCGGTTCCGTTCAAAATCCAGCCCTATCTATAGCTGAAGCGTTTATTCAGACATTTTGTGTTGTGAAAACAGCTTGATGAAGTGGACATGGGAATGACATATGAAGAGCTTTCAGTCTATGGAAGAATGAGGAAGATTTTCCGGTGTGGCCCAGTTTCCATGTTCAAGGTTTGAGTTATGATCTTTAGACAAATATACTAAACCATGATACAGTGAGACTCGAATTGTTTTGTAATGATTCTGCAGAATCTATGTTACAAGTGGGGAACAAAGCTAACCCCAGCGGAAGTAGCTGAGAAAGTGAAGTACTTCTTCAAGTATTATTCAATCAATCGACACAAAATGACTGTCCTCACACCGTCCTACCACGCTGAGGTACTGCTACTTGACATAAAGTTGTCTGACACATGTTTTGAAACTGTCACGAGTGAGAGGAAACTCATAGGATTCTATTGTTGCAGAGTTACTCTCCAGAGGACAACAGGTTCGATCTGAGGCAGTTTCTGTATAACAGCAAGTGGCCATACCAGTTTAAGAAGATTGATGAGATTGTTGACGGCTTAAATGGCGACTCAGTTACTTTTCCAGGAGAAGAAGGAAGATCCGCCAAAGAAGTTGGAGTCGTGGCAGCAAACTCCGGTGACCCAAGCGCGGGTCTCTGATGAAACTACTTTACCTCTCTGTTTCAACTTAAAAGTGGATGTTTGGAACAGTGTGGAAACAAATAACATGTTTGTGTTGAAGAGAACAACAAAACAACAGTAACCACTTCCAATAAGTTTTCTTTTTGAGTAAGTCGATGATCATATGATCTTGTTAAAAGTTCATTATTATGCAACAAACTTATGTTTATACATGTTTAAAGTTTAGTTTGTGAGCATGATTTGTCAGTTATAATCCCCTTCTTATTATTTGAGGAGAACTTTTGCAAATAAACCTTTACTTCATGTGTTTATTACATGCATGTCATTTCCTACGTGGCAACTCCACAAGCCTTCTCACACCTTTTAACTAAAAGATCTTAGTTAACTAGAATAATTACATAACATGCCATTGATATAAATATACATATATGACATATATGATATAACAATAAAGAACTTGCGTGATATACGAACAAGCACTAATGCAAAATCTATGATCATTTATTGAATAAAAATATTTCCTTATATACGATACGATATATTTGTTACAAAAAAAAAATTTTTTTATATATTTCCTTATATACGATACGATATATTTTGTTACATAAGTATGATATATTTCATGATATAAGTATTTTGTTACATGTACGATATATTTTATGTATATCATTCTCCATGTAAATATTGTAAATGTAAAACATGCATATATAATGATTTTGGTACATGTTATTGTACGATTTATTCAAATTCAAAATATATTTCGTTACATAAGTATAAATAAAAATAGGAAAAAAATGCGACCTTATTTCATAATTAGGCATATATTTAAATTTTAAATATAATATTTTATATTTTATAAAATCGAACTTTATATTTTATATTTCGACAATATTCGATGTACAAAATACNCAACTTCAATTAACATTAATGACCGAATCTGCATGCGTATTTCAGTTTCCCTTATATGCACTAACCATTGATGTTATTGTATTCGAATATTGAATGATTATATTTCATACATCGTCGAATGTCAACTAAAATTAATGACCGAATCTGCATAGATATTTCTAATATTGAATGAATATATTTCAGTCACATAATTTTAGCACTAAATCTCGGAATGTTTTTATTAGGTAAACGGTTTAATGGTTTCTTTCCATTTGAATGTCAATCAGATATATATAATATTCTGAATTAATATTCTATTTCATAATTAGGCATATATTCTATTTCAGTCACATAATTTTAGCAACTAAATCTCGGAATGTTTTTATTAGGTAAACGGTTTAATGGTTTCTTTCCATTTGAATGTCAATCAACTATATATAATATTCTGAATTAATATTCTATTTCATAATTAGGTATATATTTAAATTTTAAATATAATATTTTATATTTTATAAAATCGAACTTTATATTTTATATTTCGACAATATTCGATGTACAAAATACTATTATCTTCAACTTCAAAATATATTTCGTTACATAAGTATAAATAAAAATAGGAAAAATGCGACCTTATTTCATAATTAGGCATATATTTAAATTTTAAATATAATATTTTATATTTTATAAAATCGAACCTTATAAAATATTTCGACAATATTCGATGTACAAAATACTATTATCTTCAACTTCAATTAACATTAATGACCGAATCTGCATGCGTATTTCAGTTTCCCTTATATGCACTAACCATTGATGT